AAACCGTACTGTCAGTTTAACGCACGTATGTGCAAAAGGGAAGAATGAATGCGATGTTGTGGGGATAGAATTGTGTTTTTCAGATGTTGGAACATCGCAATGTGAGTAAAAGAAACAATTTGTAACAAATCCTTGGTTAAATCTATAGTCGGGATTCCATAGCGATAGCAATAACAGAAAAGAAGTGAACCGTTGGTGTTCGAGAGAGGTTTTTTCTTTTCACGTGAGGACGATCACACGTTTCAATGGGACGTAGATTATATATATTTTAGAAACTAAATTACAGAAACTCTGTACTTCATTATTACTTCTGTACATAATGGTAACAGCCGCAGACCCAGATTACAGAAGTTCATATGGTAAGATATAAATTGCAAGTGATTCCATGGCTTTTGATGAGCCATTGAAGTATTTATGTTGTGCGTCTGTGTTTCAATAAACCTAAAAATATTAGGCAACGACAATTTGCAGATAACATTCAACGCTTGTGTCGCATTGTTGCGCGGAACTATGTTATGTTACTGTATCGTTGTGTACAGTTGATAAGATAAGCAGTCTGTGAAGTTATTATTCATATTCAATGTTATTGTGCGTTCTTGGAGGTTTACACCTGAAATCCGGTATGTACACTTTGCGTAAATCCGCGTAATAAACATCTTTTTTAACGTTTATAACCCAGAAACGCAAAATATATTGAAGTCATATTGATAATCATCTTCATCGGGTTTGCACCTGATTGACTTTACACTTTGACACCAGGTGTTGGCAAAAAGGGTACCGGTAGAAACCGCCACTCACGCAGTTGTCATAAGAAACGTTGTCTTAGTGGTGAGAGAACTCCATGTAAAGGTCATAGTGTGGGAGAGCATCGCGCATCATGTTGCCAAGCGACGTGTCAATTTTAGTAAATTCATCGGAATGTCCACTATAACATTTTTCGAATGACATAACCAGACCTTTGATGGTGAGCCCTTGATTGAAAAGATTGCTTGTTAGCAAAATGGTTATTTCTTTGAAAAGTGAATAAAGTGTCCATGATCCTAAAGTACCGAAACAATTGAGAATTGTAGATGTCACAAGTTTGAACAGATGGTAGGGGATAGCCTGTCTTACAGACCCTGATACAAATATATATACAAATACAGCCCATGCAAGTATAGTGTTTGGCAAGTCTAGATCAGGTCTGATAGTGAAGAGAGTCTCTGGGCTCTATTTTATTATATTTTTATGAAGATAATTGAACAACTGTTTTTTTCTGTACGATATGTTCATTTCAGAGACTAGATGTTGGTCTAGATAGGGGAAATCGGAATTCGAAATCAGAGACACGGCCATTATTCTATATACATAATGAGAACAGTCGCAGCTGCACATTACCTTGGCTTGGTTCATAAGGTATCAATACTTCATTGTGTCTTAACAAATTAACGTAACACTGTTGCCATGGCTTTTGAATTCGCTAACAATGATTGTTTCTTGAAGAGGCATTGTCAAACCAAATTGTTTAAAATATTTAAAGGCTTAACAAAAATGTATGGCCGACCATTTTGCGTTGGCAAAATGATTAATAACGGAAAGAAGACGTCAAAGGATAAAGTTTTACACGTCTTAGTTTACGTTGGGGTCAGGTTAAACAAGAACATGTGTGAGCCTTGTAGCGCTCGGCACAACATATTTTAGCTGTATGTACTTTAGTAAAGAACAATACCATCTGAGCCCAAATTTACCCCGCTGCGTGCACATACGGGTAATTATTAACATAAGCTAGGCATCAATATTAGATGATTACCACTGTTTTACGCTAAACCATCGTTTGTGATGTTAAAATAGCACGATGAATGATAGTCCTTATCATGTTGACAATACATTCTGAAAAGTTATCCTCTACATTAAAGTGCCTACAGTTAAAACAATTTGATGTTTTGAAATTATTTAAGTGCAAAGGTTAATACGTCAATTAGAAACAAGGATTTGTTTAAATCGGAACTTGGCGTTCTTGGATGATATCATTCTAACAGACGCTGCTCCATTTTGGCATACATGGTGGTATAATTGGTTGATAGTACACTCCTAAACCCTGTAGAGGTTTATAAAGTGCACATGCTTACTCATTGTTGACTCTCCAGGAATAGCGGCGTTGACTTTGTGCTTGCCAACTCCATCCCCCATGTCTGCCCCGGTTCACGACGTTTACATCTACTGTTGCACCGTTCTCAGATTAGGAGACACCATCACCGACAAGTCATGTTGTGCGGCTTGTAGACCTTTTCTGACCTACTGTACTAACACGTACACTTGTACAGATTTATATTATATATATTTCATTCACAAGGAAATTTATTTGGCACACGTTTTCACAACTTTGGTTGCCCTCTCCCAAAATAATTACATGATTAGTGTTATATGATCTCACAGTATATACAGAGAGAGGCAGCAGAAAACAGTTTTATATTTATTTACATCTGTCAGTGAGGTCGGTATACTTATGGACAGAGTGAAGCAACTGGACATTTTCGTTGTAGCTGAGATGATAGCTCCCATTTAATAATAATAACATATCAGGACTAGCCTGCTTTTACACATTTCAATTATGCTATTAAACATTATGTCTTGATAAAATGGACATGCTATTAGGCAGTGATTAACGTTTTCACACGGGGAACTTCAGAGACAGGGCTGTCTATTAAATCAATTCTTAATAAGTTATATTTATCCTGAGAGCATGAGTAGTGTAAGTTTGTAAGCAATATATTGTAATTCCTTAAAAAACAGATAAAATAAGAAGGTGCACATTTAGTTTGTATTTTGATTTTGCTGTTAAAAGAGCTTAGAGTACTGGACTCTCTAATTCATGGGGGCAATTCATTCCATAATGTTACAGAATGAATACAATAACTGATTGAATAATTGTGTTCTACTGAGTAGTATTGATATATTTCGTACATTTCATTTGTACTCAGACCGTGTGTCAACAGTATTTGGTAAATGTTCCCCTTTGGTAAGAAGGGGTTACACAGTTGTCAATTATAAAAACAAGCAAAGCTTGCGATACCTTCTTCTTTCTGCAAAGATACTTGTACAGGCATACAATCGAGTGCACACTGATCCGTTAGCCAGGGTAATTATGCAGCGCTTTGAGCACTCTTCAGGGCATGATTTTGGCCCATTATTAATATGCACGTTATTAAAATAGATTGTACTTTATTTACATATAATCTAATATTATATATGTCATTACAGGAATAGGTAACGCAGTATTCCTTCATGTGTTATTAACATGTGTGAATGTGGTTTTGCAACATTATTTCAGCTGTATGACGGTTAGCATTAGGTGTGCGATGTGAGTTTAGACCGCGAGTGACTCCTGTAATGGCTTGACATACTGTGCCCATGTGGGGTGTCGTTATGAATAGTTAACTCAGAGGTAATACTGAATCGTGTTGAACATCACAATTACTGCAATAAGCTTGTTCACAAAGACACTTTCATTACACGTGCCAATGTATCTGGTGTCTGGCACGGTTGAAGCGCCGTAAGAACCAGACTTTACCATGGACATATGGCAGAGTGGGCACCATGTATGTCAAAAGTATGTATTTGTTACACACATATCAGAATTGCCCCTCACTTGTTTTAAAAGTGGCATCCGTTAAACACTGGGAAGTAATCCACTGCACACAAGAATACCGTCCATCGACTGCCGGTTCGGGTCTTTTATTGACCATGACATGACCACGCACTTGACCATGCCCGGACGGACAACATTCACCACTGAGTTCAACTCACATGGCTGCCAACTAGAGTACACGGTGCTGTTTAATGTTGTAGCGACCTATGTAGGCCTTGGACGCGAACACTTCTCTACAATGCCAATAGATAAATACGTCACTTTCTTGTTGATTTATGAACTCTTATATCAAGTTGGTACCACCTGCTACAACATACATACAGTTTGGTGTATGAAGGAAATAGACAAGAGCGTTAAAATGAAGGATTTGTCCTCGTGGAAACGTGTGGAAGTAATGTGGTTTTACGCCGCTTTTAGACCCGTTTCAGGAACATGACGGCGGGAGAACAACAATAAATTGCTTCGGAAAGAGTGTCCTTTAGGGGAATCGAACACAGGCCTTCTGCGCAATTAATCAATTAATTAATTATTGTGTACACTTTAACAACAAGGCTACCCCACAATCATCGTGGCTTTATCCTACTATTCTCCCGGTGACTAAGAACGGTGACCCCGAAACTTCACACAGCCATTTGATAATCCGAATCGCAGTCGTCACATGCGCAGTGAAATGAGCGAATGAAGATTGCACCACAGCTATCTCAAGGCGGTCTGCAAAAAAGTTGGACAGTATAAACAACGATCCATCTGGTCAGTACACCATTCCAGTACACAATTCAAAGACTGCCATGTTATCAAATATTGTAACTACTACTTCCGATATTGGTCTGTTCTTGCAATAAGCTTACTGGTGATCTAATAAGTCCCGGAATCAACACTCGGAGACATGTCAGGGGTATTGGGAACACATTCTGAACAGATACAGAATGGGGCGATGAATAATGTCTTTACATTATCACCAAACCATGCCACATCAACCTGACCGATTGTCTCGTTCATCGTCGCGGAATGAAATACTTCACCTAACAACTAACATTAATATGAAACCGCCTGGATGAAAAAAAATCCTTTTCAAATTCATTTAAACCGTTGAGTGATAACACATTCTGAGAAATGATGCTACTTCTTTTAGAAAAAATGACATGACAGATGATGACTCTCAGCACCAATGAAGCATGTCGGTGATGACCAATCCTTCTCTAGTGTAGTATTGCCGCCAGCGATCACGTACATCCTGCCGATGCTGTGCTGTGTCATGCAGCACGTGTTTGGTTGGACCCCGGGGTAGGGAGGGGGAGCAGGAAGTGGGGCGCCCCCCGTGTAGTGATAGGTATAAATACGTCCAACCCACCCGGCTCTTCCTTCCCGCATCCTCACCCTGCGACATCCAACTTGTCGATATCACAGTAAGTATTGCATATGCTGTGTGGCTCGATAAACATCAATATGTGTTTTTGATGTCGTCGACTCCCATGATTTATACGTTTCGTCAGTGAAGCAATCAGTGTCAGTTACAATTTGCTAGATGCAACAAATATATTTTTATATTATTAGTTTATGTTATATGAACTGAGGATAAAAAGAAACTGATTTTATCATATGCTTGATTTTCCATTGAAAATATCTGAAGTTAGCGATATTATATCCAAAGATGACCTGTACTGGCGCTTAGTCAGAACTAAAAAAAAATATAAGTTGATTTAAAACTTTTAAAAATTAAATACAAAATACGTATAATACACAGCTGCTGATGGGTATATTAGATATTTTATCTTTCAAGATCAATAAACTTACTTTTTTCGGCAATAATTTAGAACATTTCAAACGTGGTCATGTGGTTGCAAATTCCTGTCTTTCCCCTGTCTTCATTCAACCAGTTTATTGCTTCACAAAATTACCCAGCCATAGATTACATTTTAACAACTGTTGCAGGAATGAGTGATGGTTAAATAGACAAAATCATATCAACAACATTTCTTCCAAATTTCAATTAAATAAGGGACAAACTCGGTATACTTCTTTTGCCCCTCAGTTTATATCACATTCATGTGGTGTGTGATGTATGCGGTGTGTATATGTGTGTGTGATGTATGCGGTGTGTGTGTGGTGTGTCTGTATGTTTATGTGTATATTCGTGTGGTGTATGTGGCGTGTGTGTATGTTTATGTGTATGTGTGTGTTGTGTATGCGGTGTGTGTGTATATTTATGTGTATATGTGTGTGGTGTGTGCGGTATGTGTGTGGTGTGTATTCTTGCATTCAATGCTTCAAGGCAATAATAAATTCTAAAAGGAGCAGCCGAAAAAAGAAATGTTTTCTTCAGAACATCCAGCATATCTTGCGAACAATTATTTATTTTGTAACACCTTTGGCAAAATTATCTTCTTTCAATTTCTCGGCCCCTTATTTTAAAGAGCAGGTGAATAGCATCGGCAATGCTGTCTTGAGATAATTCGTACTTATTTCTACTGAAACAGTTGATGAAATAATGGATACTTAAGGTTAACCTATGGGATTCGTGTATATGTATCAATGGTATTCCGGAAAATTGCCAAAGATCATACTATCGAAAAATATTTTTACTATAAATATTAGCTACAACTGCGTTTCAATTTGCCACAGATCCACACAAAATGATGAAGGTTATCGCCCTTGTTTTCTGCCTGGCCGCCGCCGCAATTGCCGAACCGATAAGCTACGGATTGTACGGTAAAGGCGTTGGTATTCCTTATTCCGGTCATCACGGATACGGCATGGGAGGTCTGTACGGCGCCGGTGGTCTGTACGGCGGTCTGTACGGCGCCGGTGGTCTGTACGGCATGGGTGGTCTCTACGGAGGTCTGTACGGCGGCAAATACGGCGGTATGTACGGAGGTCTAAACGGAGGCAAATACGGCGGTCTGTACGGAGGTCTGTACGGAGGCAAATACGGCGGTATGTACGGAGGACACCTGGGAGGAAAGCTCGGCGGTCTGCACGGAGGAGTCGGACTCGGTCTTGGAAAAGGTGCGTAATCATTTTTATGTATGCAATTTATCAGGGAAGTAGTAGCTCTGCATAATTTAGACTCGGGAATTTAGAATAAAATAGATCTTCAGCAACCCATGCTTGCCATAAAACTATGCTTGTCGTAAGAGGCGACTAATGGGATCGGGTAGTCAGGCTCGCTGACATGGTTTATGCATGTCATCGATCCCAATTGGGTGGATCTATGCTCGTGATGTCAGTCACTGGATTGTCTGGTCCAGACTCGATTATTTACAGACCGCCGTCATACAGCTGAGCTATTGCTGAGGGCGACGTTAAACTACAAACAAACAAAGAATAAAGTGTCACCAACAAAAGAAATTATGCATATTTTTTCTTGAAGTTGGAAGGGTAGAGATGACATTTAAATGTCTTACACTGCTTGTACCAGAAAGTGGTCATTGTCTGTAAACCAGTAGACAAGCAGCCTAGCTTAGTGTATTCTGACTCAATATCTGCACTTTAAAGAGAGGAGTAGGCAGCGAGTTGGGTTTAACGCCTCTCTAAACAGTGTGTCAGTTTTTATCACGGTGTGTCATGTTAATGTGTGAGGAAAGCTCAAAGGCAGATGTAGGCAGGTCGTGCAGCACTTTGGTAAAACACACAAGCGCGCCAGAAACCTATGATCGTGGGATCCAAGATTCGTCCCGATCATGCTTCTAGATTTGTCAGCACTACACTTGGGCTCAAGAGTTTCGACAAACGTCTTAGACCTGCATCACGTCGGGTTTTCTTTGGGTTTTCCTCACACATAAGAAACTGAAGTGCACTTCAAAGTAGCGTAAAACCAAACCCATTCATTCACTATGCATATAGGTAAATGTGTTATATACATAATTACATCTGAGTTAGAAGGAAAACAAATGGGACTTGAATGAAACTAGTTCCTCTTTAAAAGGCAGTAGATGCCATTAAGTAGGTTACTTACGTCTGAGCTGATCGGTTTGATATATGGACGTCAGAAGAAGGATTATTTTAGGACTTAAACAAAACATATGTTCTTCAAAATAATATACTTTGACAATTTGAAGTGAACTTTAATATTGTGTCCCATATTTGTTACAGGTTACGGTTACTACTGAGAGATACGTGACCTTCTTCTCTCGACCTTTGTCCATATTTGTATGTACAGCCATATTTTTATATCCTGACAAATAAAAATGTATTGATCAAAACTGCATGTACGTTGTCGATGGTTTGCTTTCATACTGGACCATGTCCGTGGTCCAGTGGATAGAGCGTCTTCTCGGAGAGCGGAAGGTCGGTGGTTCGATTCCCGGCCGCGTCATACCAAACCACCATAACCCTGCCTGGCGCTCGGTATTCAAGGGAGACAGGGGCTGGTCGTCTCGGAGTCAGTATACTGTGTCTGAGTGGGGAATTCATGTTAAATTGCGGCATCGGAACTCAGAGAGCTGTACGGTATTAGTCAGGACGCACGCACGCACATACACTAATTTACAAGAAAACATGTGGCCACTATATCAGTACTGGTCGTGTTTTGAATGAACCTTCAGTATATGAATGACTTTGGTTTAAGACCTTTACAGAACATTTCAGTGTATCAGCTTGATGTGGGAGGAAAGACCGAAGTGACGCAGGACGTTTACCAGCTTATTAACACCCACGAGCACGGTTTGGTTTTGACAAACCTAGAAAGATAATGGGGGCGAAGCGGGATTCGAACCCACAAACATAGGTTTCAAGAACGCCCAAAGGTCGCAGCACTGCACAACGAATAGCAGTGCCTTGAACGTTCAAATCATACTTTGCGGTTTTTGTAGGATCAACTCATGCTGTATCATGCATTCAACACATTTGACCACTAGTTGAAGTTTACACCGAACTCAATTCAGCTGCCTTGGAATCATTGACTCTAGGTCAGACCAATAAGTGGTCGATAACACGAGCACGAGGTATTATGACATTATTATGTAAATAAAGGTTGAGGTCGCCACATAGGTGGCCACTGGAACCTACATTGTCACGGCGTTGGACCACGCTTTACCATGTGTGGAATCGAACCAAGGTCTCCATTGTGACCAGTCAACACTTTCCCGCCATGCTACCTCACTTCTGCTTGATTGTCCCCGTGTATACTGTAGGGATATTATACTCGGCTATTTTATCATATTATCATCTTCACAAAACATAAGATGCATGATTTTTGCAATTACACAAGAGGGACACTGTGTAGAGTATGGTGGTAAATCATGACGCGAGCCTGTTCAACGTGATGTAAGGGGAGTAACTCTTGGTATCAAGAGATGCGCTAAAGGCGGTTGATGGCACTCCTCTTCTAACAATTTGCTACTTTGGAACCGAACTCAATCCAAATGTAATCAATCATATACACATACATTGATGCCTCGGAAACCGTTGTTTTCTCAACCCGCGCATGTGTAGGCTTACTGATTATCGTTAAGTATTTGCAGCAGAACATGCAAGCATGGGATGGGTAGGTAAGCATCAGCTACTGATTCGATGCAGATAATTATAGATTACATATAAATAAGATGACATAAAGTGGCAGTGAGACAAGCGAGCATGCTAGTAAATGTATTCTTAGTGTTTGAACATAATTATGTGTGCAGTAAATTGCCTGCAGTGCACGACCACGGGTTTTTTACTATGGCTACTACTGCATTTAACTTTATGTCTACACGTTTGGCATATAGGTGTGTATAGAACTCTACACTGTCTATGTCAATACACACACTGTCTATGTCAATACCTACACTGTCTATGTCAATACCTACACTGTCTATGTCAATACCTACACTATGTCAATACCTACACTGTCTATGTCAATACCTACACTATGTCAATACCTACACTATGTCAATACATACACTATGTCAATACCTACACTGTCTATGTCAATACATACACTATATCAATACCTACACTATGTCAATACATACACTATGTCAATACCTACACTGTCTATGTCAATACATACACTATGTTAATACATATACTGTCAATACCTACACTGTCGATATCAATACCTACACTATGTTAATACCTACAATGTCTATGTCAATACCTATACTATGGTAATACCTACAATGTCTATGTCAATACCTATACTGTCTATGTCAATACCTACACTAAGTTAATACTTATACTGTCAATACCTACACTGTCGATATCAATACCTACACTATGTTAATACCTATACTGTCAATAACTACACTGTCTATGTCAATACATACACTATGTCAATACCTACTCTGTCTATGTCAATACATACACCATGTCAATACCTACACTGTCTATGTCAATACATACACTATGTCAATACCTACACCGTCTTTGTCAATACCTATACTGTCTATGTCAATACCTACACAATGTTAATACCTACACTGTCTATGTCAATACCTACACTGTCTTTGTCAATACCTATACTGTCTATATCAATACCTACACTATGTTAATACATATACTGTCTTTGTCAATCGATACACTGTATATGTTAATACCTACACTGTCTATGTCAATACCTACACTATCTTAAGACATATACTGTCAATGCATACACTATCAATATCAATACCTACATTATGTTAATACATATACTGTCTTTGTCAATACATACACTGTATATGTCAATACCTACACTGTCGATATCAATACACATACTATGTTAATACAAATTCAGTCAATACCTACACTGTCGATATCAATACCTACACTATGTTAATGCATACACTGTCTATGTCAATACCTACACTGTATATGTTAATACCTACACTGTCTATGTTAATACCTACACTGTCGGTGTCAATACCTACACTATGTTAATGCATACACTGTCTATGTCAATACCTACACTGTATATGTTAATACCTACACTGTCTATGTTAATACCTACACTGTCGGTGTCAATACCTACACTATGTTAATGCATACACTGTCTATGTCAATAGCTACACTGTATATGTTAATACCTACACTGTCTATGTTAATACCTACACTGTCGGTGTCAATTCCTACACTATGTTAATGCATACACTGTCTATGTCAATACCTACACTGTATATGTTAATACCTACACTGTCTATGTTAATACACCCTCTGTCTATGTCAATACCTACACTGTCTATGTCGATCCGGGGTAGAATAGATCTTCAGCAACCCATGCTTGCCGTAAAAGGTGACTATGTTAATACATTCACGACTAATGTGAATACTCTTGTAGATCCCGGTATAGCTTGACCCAGCAGTCACTCCACTGGTGTAGGAAGTGTTGGTGGGAGGTGATTGGTTGCAGATGATTGTGCGTAAGCATGTATCGGGACGTGTCACTTCACATGTCATTTCACATGTCAGTTCCCGGGGCGATGGTTTCAGCAATGATCAGTTGCAGTGGCGTGACCCTAACTGTCTTCAACTAATTGGATGATTGATGGCTGATACATTTCTTGGTTAATTACGAAATTATTTCATTACATGCAAAGTTTACATTTAAACTAAACATACAATTAAATCATATAAAAGCATCGAACGAATATGAATGAAACATTATAGTCATATGAACTAATTGTAAAGAAGGCGGATTAAATCTAGACACATTAGAAACTACGTGAATCAATTCCCAATATGTTCATGTAATACTGTATTTATTACACCTTGGAATGCAATATTGTGAATATCACTATCCACTGACTGTGATATACTACTCCAAGTTTGACAGGGATATGACATATTTGATTACCCCTATTAAACGTTGAGTAGTATATGATAAAGACTCTTCACATCTTCTAATTCTACTTTCATTGGGAGCTTTATCATACAAAAGAAATGATTTACAGGCCGTTTCATAAAGTAAAATTCATGCTCAAAAGACCTCGACAAACTGCAAATAAATTCACAAGCAGGCCTGAATGCACAAAAAGTGAGTGAGTGAGTGAGTATGGTTTTACGCCGCTTTTAGCAATATTCCAGCAATATCACGGCGGGGGACACCAGAAATGGGCTTCACACATTGTAGCGATGTCGGGAATCGAACCCGGGTCTTCGGCGTGACGAGCGAACGCTTTAACCACTAGGCTACCCGACCGCCCGAATGCACAAGAAGACCAGCTCATGTTTGATATAGCGAAATACGAAATGTAATTCTTAGTGGCATGGCAAACTCGTTAGATTTATTCCTCTTTAAAGACTCATGTCAGCTTGACGTTGGTTTTGCACCCCTTGTCGGTGAATCAGCCAGTTCTCTAAAAGTGTTTTAAAGTTTCAGTTGTTGGCGACTAATAATAAAAATAATTAATAATACTATATGTACAAAATTCTATATACCATGTGTGCTTGGTATGTAAGTATATAGTTTGATAATTCTGTGAGAAATGAAAGTCGAAAAAAACCATCCACATGATATTGTGGTAGCAGTGTGACAGTAATCTTCCGCTGGTGCACAGTGAGTTGGTATACACATACTTCAATCAAGCAGAAGAGAGAACTGAGCAAACAGAAGAGAGAAATGAGCAGGCAGAAGACAGAACTGAGCAAGCAGAAGACAGGACTGAGCAGGTTGAAGACAGAACTGTGCAAGCAGAAGACAGAACTGAGCAAGCAGAAGACAGAACTGAGCAAGCAGAAGACAGAACTGAGCAAGCAGAAGACAGACCTGTGCAAGCAGAAGACAGAACTGAGCAAGCAGAAGACAAAACTGAGCAAGCAGAAGACAGAACTGTGCAAGCAGAAGACAGAACTGAGCAAGCAGAAGACAAAACTGAGCAAGCAGAAGACAGAACTGAGCAAGCAGAAGACAGGACTGAGCAGGTTGAAGACAGAACTGTGCAAGCAGAAGACAGAACTGAGCAAGCAGAAGACAGAACTGAGCAAGCAGAAGACAGAACTGAGCAAGCAGAAGACAGACCTGTGCAAGCAGAAGACAGAACTGAGCAAGCAGAAGACAAAACTGAGCAAGCAGAAGACAGAACTGTGCAAGCAGAAGACAGAACTGAGCAAGCAGAAGACAAAACTGAGCAAGCAGAAGACAGAACTGAGCAAGCAGAAGACAGGACTGAGCAGGTTGAAGACAGAACTGTGCAAGCAGAAGACAGAACTGAGCAAGCAGAAGACAGAACTGAGCAAGCAGAAGACAGAACCGAGCAAGCAGAAGACAGAACTGAGCAAGCAGAAGACAGAACTGAGCAAGCAG